GACTCCAAGTAAATTATTGCATACGATACCCTTTTGATGGACTATAATCTTACCTGGTAACAATCAATGATTCATCCCGAAAGTGAAATTGATCGGGCTAATTTCAGCACTACAATGATTCAACACTTGAGTTTCTTTTAACCACGCATCACGGCCCGAGGTGACTCGGGGTCTTCTCCTGTGCACATTCTACTTTCCAGCACGAATATTGTCGCTCAACGGCTAGTAGATACCATGAAGCTCCATTAACCTGCACTGGCATCATAAAAAAACATGATAGAATATAACAAATTGGTATATATGAGAATAAGCAGAACCTTATCAGATTACTCTACAAAAGATCCCTTAAGGAATGAAGGGAGGTTCCAACATATATTTAGGAAAAATGGTCAAACCCTACCTGATATGAGATTCTAATAATATACTTATTGGTTCTCAGAAGAAGAAAAACACAGCTGTATAAAAATTTCAAGGGAGCGTATTGTTTTTAACCAGGCTAGGACATGCTCTTAAGGGAGAGAGAAGCTGTCTCTGTGGTCCTCAATTTCAACCTAAAAAAAAAACCAAACTCGTGGTTGGTTAGCTGTCTCCGTAGTCTTTAATATTTTCAGTCTTCCTTATCAAATTTGCAGAAAATGACTTATAGCCTGCAATTTTGTCAAATAACAAGTGTCATTTACACAAACACAAACAAAGGCTAGAAAAAGATGATTTAAGTTATCTGTAACTTGTATTGTATACAATAAAACATTTACTTGATTACTAACTTCAACCTCATAAGAATTCATTGTTGCTACAACATAAAACCTCCTCACACCAATTTGGTCTTAGGGTGATGAGCATTGAATCCCTTCGTTCAATATTGTAAATATCAAAACAATAAGATTCCAGAAGCCAAAAAATCACAGTGAAACTTGGACCAGTTAGTTCCCGATTTAATTAGAAAACGCATAACTAATCTACAAAAATCCTCAAATCCCGAAGAACGAACGCCATGTTAGTTGTAGAATTCAAAATCATGAAAGTAGTCTTATGAAATACTAAGAAACCATGAAGGTTATGATCAATAAAAGGCTTACCCAACCACAAGGGTGGTGCCTGATTGGTTTGTGCTTGGCTCCAAAGGTCAAAAGTACCTGTAGGTCCCAGGTTCAAATCCAAGAAGGAATAAAAATCCTCTTGTGGTCATGGAGGTTCAAATGCGGTGACTTCAGGCTATTTGCAAAGCAGGTAGTCGTTCTGGGATTAGTCTGCTCGCATAATGGGTTGGATATCCAGGTTAATAAAAAAAATTAAAAAACATAAATGGCTTACCCATATGAAGATAGATAGGAACAAATGATGACATTTCCTCCACATGTTTTCTTCGTACAAAAAGCTTAACAAGTCGTAGGCATCGCTTTATCTGTAAGAGTACCTATTTTATATCTCTACAAAAAAATCTTCAATTCAGAGGAAGTCAACTTAAGTTGTTGTGTACTGTTCAAGAGGTATTCTGGAGCCACGTACCCCATAAGTGCTTCCCGGTAAAATTTAACATTATTATTTACTTACTAGGTAAGATTTTAGTCCATCAAAACGACTTTGTATTCAACAATTTACCCGGTAAGAGTTGGAGAATATTCCTATCCATTCCCTGCAGAAAATTTACCATTATGATATTCCATTGAGGATATTCCTCTCGTTGAAGAGTTGGAGGCTTTGTGAGGAAGCCAACATTGTACGCGGAATTCCAGTTGGCCATTGAAAATTTTGGAGAAGAAGAAAGAATTTTTAACGAGAAAGAAGATCAATAATTTGAGAGATTTTTGAATGATCGNGCCATTGAAAATTTTGGAGAAGAAGAAAGAATTTTTAACGAGAAAGAAGATCAATAATTTGAGAGATTTTTGAATGATCGTTTTGATTGGATAATCAATCAATAGGCTCTGATACCAATTGTTAATCCCAGATCTCTCAATAACACTAATAATCTAGTTATGAATAACCAAATTATAGTGATTTAATTAAGAAAGTTATGAAGTCTCAAGAATAAAATAAGAATATTTAAGAACAACTTTGAGTTTCAAAGGTTTTACTTTATAAATTCAGAAACGTAAAACAACGAGTAAAAGCCTTATTTTTACAATAGACCTAATCATCTATTTATACTAATCGACTATTAAGAAGATAACTATCTAATGCTACTTTCTAGCAAATTGTCTATCTAACTGATAGGGTTTATCTTTCACATGGATAAACATTAACAATAAGATAAACTCGAATTCCAGCTGTTGATTTGTCATCTCCAGCTGTCATTCATGGTATGATGATTTCATCCTTATCTTCAAATCTTCATTGCATGCTTGGATGGAKTGCYGRAAARTCTTCTAAGTGTTGATGACCAGAGGATCGATGAGGATGCGACTGTCCATCGGTCCTCTGGTTGAACTATCCATCGATCCTCTGGTTGAATTCCAGACTTAGTCGATTCTGCCTTGATGTCTTCATTGGTCTTCTGAATCTTCATCACTTATTATTTTTCATTACTTTTTACATCATGAGTTATGGGGTTTAACAATCTCCCCCTAAGTAATGAAATAACAAACATAGTCTAATCTAGACACATATGTGAAGGACAGACCCTAATCTAGTAGAAAAACATCATACTCCAAATTTTCATTGGATGATGAAATTTCTTTACAATACTGGAAACAAAATACATCAAGGCAAGATAAGCAAAAGTTTTGACTCATCACTAGCTACCTGAGTATATCTCTTTGAAGCACAAGAGTAGTCTTCGATAAGCAATGATCGTTGATATCTCGTGTATTAGATGACTCCCCTCTTACCTTGGCACATGGTTTCTGTCCAGTCTTTCTCTAATGTTTTTCTGAAACCATTCAAGTGTATCTGTTGAATACTTGAAGTCTTCAGTCAATCTGAAGAACTTTTTAACCCCAAACTCATTCTTGTAAACAAGTCCAAGTTCAGGTTGAGTAAGAACTGAAGCAGAACGTATCTTCTGCAGGCCCTGGAAGTCTTCGTTTGGAGAAGCACAAGATAATCTCTCAATGCCTAGCCTAAAAGCAATTTCAAAATCAGTTTTGGCTCTGAGCTTTACAAGGGACTCCATTATTTCTACAATAACTCGGTTTGCCATTCCAAATCGTATCCCATGATCTTGCCTTTGAGCTATGTAGGCATATAACTCAATCAAGTCATATAGATTGAGGTTGATGAGGTCGTTTTCGTTGAACATGCTAACTACCCCATGGGCTCTCTCCATGCTGAACTCGATGTATCGAATAACTCTGTTGGCAAATGTCTTTATTTTCAAGTCTATGACTCTTCTTATTCCATCGTTCGAAAAGACAGCTTGAGGTGCTTGAGTAGTCTGTCTTATGAAACGATGATGTAGAAGGTTCATAGACTCAGGCGATAGGAATGAAAGATTGGTTGACAAGCTTTCTTCACGATCTTGATACATGTATTGATGGATATTTTCCATCATTACTGGTTCCCTGGGCGGCAATTGAGGTCGTCTCCTTATCGACTCCATGCTCTGTATTATTTCATCCACCAGGCCTTGTGGAGGATGCCTCGAGGAAGAAGGAATATCCGCATGCACCACGGGTTCATGGGTTAAGTGTTGAGTTTTGGTTTGGGGTTGTGTATGGGTAGAGAGTGAGTTTTCTTTGGTTGGTTGGGTAGTTTCTGGTGCATGGGTTTCTGTAAAGGTTTGGGGTCTTTGAGGTGATGGTTGGGTTGTTGTAGGTTCTGGTTGTGTGGAAAGGGTGAAGAGTTGTGTTGTGCGGGGTGTTGGAGAAGGAGTTAAGGTTAAGTTTATTGTGGGTGAGGGAGTTAAGGTTTGGTTTGTTTCTGTTGGAGGTGTGGTTGGCTCTTCATCGGTTGATGAACTCAACACGATGGGGTTTGGTGTTGTGGCTAAGGGAACTTGAATATTCTGTTCATCATCAGAGGGCAAGGCCTCTTGATCCCTTGCTTGGGTTTGTTGGGTTGATGGTGGTTGTTGTGGTGGTGATGGTTGCTGTGGTGCAGCGGATTCTGTATTTTGTGTAGCCGCCACCTCTTTCTCCCCATCATGAGGTCCAAGACCTTGATCATCGGGGTCTGGATCTTCATGTCGTCTGCGTTTTAAGGGGAAGCTTGAGGAGCAGGAGGCTCTCGATCTGTTTTTCTTCCACAGGCGAATGTGGTCGGCGAGAGTATGCACCCGATCTTTGTTGCGCCGTTGTTCCATGGTGCAAAGGAGAGTGTTTGTTCTGTCTTGTTGTTGTTGAAGGCTCCTTCTTAGCGCTCTGGTGGGTTCAACAGATCGGGCGGCAAACTTTGCATTGATCTTATTGAAGGATGAGATGAGTGCCTTGGACAGAGCCCAAAGATCGGCTCTGGTGGCAAAATCTGTGCTTGGTGGTGGTGGAGATGGCATAGAGGTTGTAGTAGATGGTGGAGGATGGGGAAGGTTGGCAAGAAGATCCCTCACCTCTACAGTGAAGGATGAGAAGGCTGCTTCATAGGAAGGGCCTGCAGAGGGAGGTGGGGGTTGAGTCTGTTGTGGGAGTTGGGCAAGTATGGTTGCGGGTAGTTGAGTGAGGGTGGTTTGTATGGTGGCCATTTGGATGGTGAGGGTGGCAAGAGTTTCATCGACTGATGAAGTGGATGGAGGTTGAGGTTGGGGAATTTGGGAGATGATGGAGGCGGGTAATTGATGAAGATTACGAAGGATGGTTTGTAGTTGGGTGATGGTGTAGGTAGGTAAGAAAGATACACTGTGACAACTTCAAGGTTGTCTCTTGTGATGGGCATTGAGATGAGAAGTCCACCGTCTTTCATCTGTTTACTGATTGTGATGTTTGAGATACGATGAGGACTTATCCTCTTGTTCAGACGATCTTCGCTCCATTTTCTATCTCAGTCGTTCAACTTCATTGCCTTTTCATGTTTAGCTTATTTAAATTCTCTTTCTTAACAACACCATTGTTTGTCGATTTAGTGTTCTAGTTCTTTTCGGAAGTCTCCATATCTTTTTCTTTCTGTTTAACCCCTTGTGATGCAGAATCTCTGAGACAGACTCCTTTTAGAGCGCTGGCGGGTTTCTGGTACTGAATAGTGAAGTCGTCATCATCATCGTCTTCATCATAATCACCACCGAGATCCTTTGCAGCGTCAGGATGGGTAGAAAAATCATCGTCATCTTCGTTGTCATCGTCTTCATCATCATCTTCCTTTTCACCAGCATCAGTTGTAGGGGTGACAGGAAGGTCTTTGTCACGAGCTTCAACATTAGCTCTAATGGTTTCATCAACAACCTCAACTTCATTAGCTTCAGCTCTAGGAGCGTCAGCTTCAGTTTCAGTTGTGGTGATAGCCGCAGCAAGAACATCTAAATCTATCTCCCCTTCTTCGTCATCACCATGACTAGAAAAGATGTTATCAAGAGTTAGTGCTAAGATGTTCATTCGCTGTTCAAGCGCGATCAGTGATCTGGCTTGAAGAAGACCGCCATCAAGAGTCTGGTCCAGCTGGATTCGATCTGTTGCTGTGAAGGAGGGTGTAGGAGCTACTACTGGACGTTGAAGGAGCTCCAGTATCTGCTGCAATAGCTTACCATGCTTGGCAAGCTGAGCATTCGCTTCATCGGCTTTGCTGGTTAGAGCAGAGATAGCCTCAGCGTTGGTTTGTACAACAACTTGCACCACAAAAAGTTGTTCCTTGACCTCTTGAATGTCTGCTTTGACAATTGAGAGGTCAGCAGAAACTTCATCCCTGAGAGGCTTGCCTTTATGGACCTCGTCCTTCTTTACGAATACAGTCTCTACGGCGGGGAGTAATAGCTTCACGTCATCAACCATGTTATACTATTATCCCATGGCTGGCATTCCTTCGTCGCAAGGACCTGAAAAAGAAAATGTTGGAGCGTAAGATAGCTGGGATTTAGAAGAAATGAATGGGTTGGATGGATGATTACATGAGGGTTCATCAGCACCATCTGAAGGATTGATGCTGGTTCTCTCTAGGTTTCCTTTGAGAGGATAGGCATCCATTAACTGAGGTATTTCAAGAGCAGCAACCTCAGGTCCTCTGGTGGGTGCTTCATCATCAGCAAGGAAAATCACTGATCAGGCAAGAGCACGTGTCGAAACCAAAGAAGGAGGAGAAGAGAAGATGGATGATACTGGTGGTAGTGGGTGTTCAGCAGTGGCTATGCTGATATACTGGTGGTAGAGAGTGCAACATCTTCATTCCTCAGCTTATGATCCAAGATTCTGGATCCAAGTTTGCAGATGGGCAGGTTTCGTTATATGGAGTACTTGTTGCCAAATATCTTGGTAAACACCATGGACAAAACTTGGTGTAGGGTACTACCTTCTTCTTTAGGTGCTGGTTCAGCTTCAACACCAGATCTTCAAAGATCACAGCAGCAAAGTTTATTGGGCATTGGCGAATGACAGAGAGGCCAATGTTCAATGCAACTCTGGAGGCTTGATCTTGGCCACCAGTTTTGCCTCCTATACATTGGATGAAATAGGAAAACAAGAACTGCCAAACCGCTGATATGCGGTTCTTCTCAATATTTGAAAGCGACTTGAGGAGATCACTGGATTCCTTCTTTGTTGGTCAGGCATAGCTAATATCATCCAAGCAAGAGATGATATCTTTAGTGGAAGGGTCACTAGCGTAAGGACCCTTTGGAAGACGGAGCGCGGTCCTTAATGTGACAACGCCAAAACTAACAGTCATTCTGTTGAAGGTGAATGAGATTTTCTCCACTTGTTGTTGTAGGATCGATTAACTCGGTTTCTTGGTATTAATTACTTACTTGGATGATCTGTTTGACGGTGTTAATGCAGCGGAAATGATAAGAATCAACCACAGTAGAAATCAATAAGAACACAGTAATGAAGATTAATGAACACAAGAGAGAGCTTCAAATGATTTTCAATAGAATGAAAATGTTGACAATTACAATACTGAAGCACACTGAAATACAAGGGTCTACGCTGCTATTTATACAAGCAAGTAACTGTTTTTCTGACATG